GGTCCGTAAACAGTCTTGGTAACTGCAAGCTAGTGTAGGTTTGGGCGGGGTTTTGTTTATGATCAGGTTAGGTGTAGCAGAGGAACTCTGATTAATACGGAGTGATAGTTCAAGACATCTTTCATTCCCAACCCATAAGATGGAGAAGAGCCTGCTTTGCTTGCTTGCAACCTGTGAGGTAAGGAAAGACGTGAGCTGGTGTGATGAAAATTACAGAACTTACTTTATGATTAAACAATTCAAGCTTGAACACGATAGATACCACTTGTTCGGATTACGACACCCCCGGAGGAATCTATATCCTCATCGACAAACCAAACATTGCCCACGCTCCTTCCTCCTTAGTCGCTCTCATTACTTGAGGCCATGGAGAGTTCAGGAGAAGGAATGGAGTGTGTTATCGGCTGCCATAATCGCGAAAATCATGATACTTGAGCAGGTTTCTGATTGTGGTGTTTATAACGTTTACAAGCCTGCCTGTCGCTGCAGTGTCGCATACGTCTGCTTATGGGCATTTTCGGTTCTTCGGACTTTGTAAATGCGAATGGAACGCACTCATTCGGTTTTTCGGACCTTTGTAACCACTATTAATCACTGATCAGTTATAAAAGAAGGAGAGAGCTGTAAAAAATTCTCACTGGCGTCGTAGGACTCTGACATACAGTTTGAATTTACGAATGTTTGCCAACGATGCCCTCTCGAGCCCCTCACCTCTATCTTTGATATGTACCTAGAGTAACTAGAGATAGAAATAGACCCTACACGTCCTCGACCACGATAAAGGTCAAAACAAGGTGCCATACCACAGCAGCCAGGGACCGGAGGAGCGCCACATATCGGAAGTTGAATAGATCATACCTTTAGGCCGGCAAATCGCATTGTAACCAGAAACATACTCTGTAGATCGTGAACCAGGGCATCCAGGGGAATCTGCTAGCAGTATGAAGCTTGTGGAAGAGAACCGAATAGAAGTCTAGGCCCGCGCCCGAGGCGGAGCCCTCATAATACTAATCTGGAGTGCATCGGCTCGCCGCAGACAACATTCCCTTTTTCCGGCCGTATACATAAAGACCAATGTCATGCAGTATCTTGCTGTGTCCCAGAAACCTTTCCAGCACCCAAACCCAAGCATGCAAGACTCGATAGGGTTGCCACCAATGTATGTCCCAGCCTGCTTTGGCCAGGACGTCGAGCTCCCGGCATATTCTGTTTCGTCGGACGCGGGACGGAGCATATTCCCATCGGCCTTGAGTCCAACAGAACCAGCATTCAACGGGTCGGCAGAATTCAGACACGATCTGCCATTCAAAGGAAAGAATTCAAAGTCCTCTGCATCGTTGGTACTGTACGGGGATGCAGCATTTTCAAAGCAGTTTCCGACTTATCTGGAAGATTCCAACCTCCAGGGAACGGTCAAGGTGAATCTAGAAAATAGTGAAGCTGTAAACACGGTAGTAGTTTCGGTAAGAGAATTAACTTACGGTGCCCATCAGTACCAACGATTTACTTCAGCTACGAGGACAAATCGTCTCTGGCGCAAGCACTCGAACATTCTTCGAGTCTAGCCAAACCTTATGGCCCCATTCATCTCCGCTGTCCAACTCTAACAGTCCCACTAAACTTGAGGGAGAACATGAATGGCCGTTCTCAATGAATATTCCCAAGGAGGTGCCGCTTTCAACGGGATCAAAAGACGCTTCTCGAAACGAGCTCGTTCGCCTTCCTCATAACTGCTTGGAAAGGCGTTTGCCTGCTGGAATAGAATACCAAGTCATTCTTCGCTTTACTCGAGGTTTGTTCAAGACTGATTATCGGTATGTCTTCATTTTCGACGTAGATTTTCTCTCTCAATTTCGAAACAGAATCATTGCACCATTTGGATACATTCCTATCATCCGTCCGGACCTTCCCTCGCCTCGTAGACAACTTGCTTATCAAGAGAACACAGCAATACCGGGGCCTCTTGCAGATCCAGAAGGATGGTATTCATTGCCGTCTAGGCAAATCGCTGGTAGACTCTTCAACCGTCAGTCCGCCGAGGCTACATGTACAGTAAGCCATTTCCTTTATTTACCTAGTGTGCTTGTATCTTACTTCTTAATTAGTTATCTTTGGCTTTACCTGTACGCCATTTTCATTCTCTTGACTTTCAAGGCACTGGTATTCAACTCGAACGCTAGCTTTCTTACACTAGGGGATCCGTAATCCCACTGCATCTAGTCATCCAGTCTTATAATACCCAAGCTCTTGAAGCTCTTTCTTCTCCGCGAGCCATCGTCTGTCGCCTCCGCCGGAGTCTTCGGTAAGTCGTTCGTACAAACCACCCACTCCTCCCCCCCCCCCCAAAAAAAACTCTATTCGTCCTAGTTTTTTCCAATCATCGCCCTCTCTCTTGCGTTCCTACACCTCTGTGTCACTCTTTACTTATTACGGCCGTGGCCGCATGTAGGTATCTTTCTTCAGAAGATCTCCGTGAAAACAAACAACCCGGGAAAGTCCAACAAGATCATTCGGAGCTAGCCACTTGGTGGTCATCACCCGCCGATGTTGTAGAGAAGGAAACCTTCAGGCGAACCCTTCACGGAGAGATTAGCCTTCCGCCAGACTTGAAGCCTACTACTGACATTGGTAAATTTCACCTAGAGGTGCGTTGGTTCCCCCCAGGCTGTGCGTATCTATGTGCTCATGTACATGCAGTATTCTGTCGTCCTATTCTCCTTCGACTCGACTAGCTTTCAGACGTCAAGCAGTCATTCTAGTCAAGACGTCCTCTTGACCCATCCCGTCCGAATCGCTACGGCCTTTGCATCTGGACCTCTTCCAAGAACATATACTCCAGAGTCGTCCTCCTTTTCTGATTTTGGTTCCGGTTCCTCGCAAGGGCTTGCTCACGCACCTGGATTCTTCTGAAACTTTAGAGGGATCCGAGTTACGATATTATTGCTAGTGTTTGCGACGTTATGTTTGTATTTTCCTCTTCACGTTGTACTATGTTAGATCGTATTTGTGCATGTACTTCCAAACCACCTAATTTTACTCAAAGATCTCGACTTGGACATTTGCATCAATATTATACGTATTGTTCTTGTAATATGTTAAATTGCATTCGTGTATGTAGTTTCAAACCACCTAATTTACCCAAGTGCTAATAGATACAGACCTTAATCACAGGAAAAATAGAAATAATTCACTCCAATAAATTCACCTTAGCCTTCGAGAGCCGCGAAATGTTCAGCACCCAAAACGCTCTTGAGGGCTTCTTCTTCCCTTTCCTTAGCCTTTACCCTCGAGTCCTTCAACCTCTGCAGCCCGTGCTGAATACTCTTCATATGAACCTCAACCGGGATCTGCGAGCCCGCCAACTCGGGCTCCGACACCCGCTCTCTTATATCTTCCATCTCATCGCTCAATGCTCTCAACGTCTGCAGAGCAAAAACGACATGAGCCAACGCCCGTTTTCGGTATTCCCCCAAACCGTTGAGCAATTTCAAATGAGAATCGTATCTCCGTAACGTCTTCCTATTTCCACCAAGTATCGTCCAAAGCTCAGAAAGCAGCTCAGACTTTGCTGAGGATATACTCGAATCTTCTCTGGAGATCTGCTCGTTGAGCACTACAAGGCGCTCCTCGAGTTGTTCGAGGTTCAAGAGTTGCACTTCAGCTTCTACGATCAACTTTTCGATCGTGTTGGAGAGGACACTCATCGCGTCTACAAAAGTACGAAGGACGATTTCATTTGTGGATGGGCCGGAACGAAAGGGGATGAGGGACTGGAAGAGAGAAGGTGAAGAGGCTTGAGCAGCTGCGATGGCGTTGACGGCGTAGTCGTTGACAGCTAGAATGCTGCGGCGATCAAAGTCAGTGAGAAAAAACAGTAAGAGTAGGGGAAGAAGGTACGCACGAGTCAACTGCACCGCCGACCTTTGCCCCTAGTCTTTGCAATCCACGTCCAGTCCGACGAGCGTCTTCCACAAAGCCGGTCAGGGATTCAGCTGCAGTAGATTTTACGGTCAACTTTTTATATTTAACAGGTCCTAAACCGCATGTTTTTACCTAACAGGTCCTTGCTAGTCAACTTGCTAAATTTGACAAGACCGACAAGGTCAGACGTAGCCATCTCCGCCTTTTTGATATCCAATGAAAGCTTCGAGCCACCCATAGATTCATCAAGCAATTTTTCGAATGTCAGGCTCTGAGCGTTTATGAGACCTGGATAATCTGCCCATTGAGGGGCAGATTCGGAGGTTCCTTTGTGCTTAGGAAGTTTGAAGCCGCTAGGGTCCGTTTGACAGAGGGTTGAACTACTGATCCCAGGGATGATACAAAGAGGCCTGATGACCATTTTAACGGTTGCTGTTATTCGGCTTACGATGAGAGCGAGAAGCCATAGGAAGAGAAGGAATGATAGAGGTCTGCGAAGGAGGTGAATGCCTCCGAGAACGACGTCTACCACATAACGTAGTGTAAATTTGGTAAAGTCCCAAACGCCTTCGATCCATTCGTCCGTAGGGAATTCCCTTCCCCTACCGGGCCTAGCTGCAGTGCGTCGTGCACTGGATGTATTTCGCGAAGATGGATTGTTTCGAGGGACGTTTTTCCTCTTTCTAGAAGAAAACTGCCGCGGAGACTTTGGGGAAGTGGGAGGAAGAGATGAGGATCTTGGAGTAGTTTCTTCCTGTTCATCAGATAGATCTTCCCAATCTTCATCGAATTCTCTAGAAGTATCTCCCTATATGCATGAGCCTCGCAAGATAGCATCTGTCAAGTAAAGCCTGAACATACTTTGAGACTAGACATGGACGAAGAAGCTGTAGTGGTGGTAGTCGCGTGTAAAGATGTAAAAGGATTGAGAAACGCGTGACGTGATTATTACGTAACAAAACACGGTCATTTGAGCGCGTCGCGTCAGAGTCCGAGTCGCGTCTCGTCCCTTTTCCGAAGGCATTTCAGAGACATACTCCATCATCTGCAAGAGAGCTGGAGATATTTAAGTCGAAAACAGCCGACTAGCTCAGTTAGTTAGAGCTTCGTTCTAATATAAGGCATAAATGACATGACTTGTATTACGCGAGGGTCTTGAGTTCGATCCCCACGCTGGCCTTGAGAACGCTATTTCTTCTTATCAGGGTGCTCGAATGTAGGCGGCGCGCAAGCATGGTTTGAGAAACAGCTATACTTCCCATTAAGTTGTTATTCATTGCAGTCTTGTCTAGCTCTAGCCATGACCTTAGATTTGTTCTGTTTGGAAAAAGGTCCAATGGCACTGCAGATGGGGGTGCACGTATACTTGTGTAAGGAGCTACCTGCCAGTGCGACTCTCAAAAGTAGTTGCATCTCCGAAATCCAAGCATTCCAAGCTTTGAAGGACATCTACTTTGACCATTCTTGTTGACTACTTGTACATTCTGCGCTTTCCAAGGCCGACTAGCTCAGTTGGTTAGAGCGTCGTGCTAATATGCAATGTTATGTTACGCGAAGGTCTTGGGTTCGATCCCCACGTTGGCCATTCCAATTATCTGGAACGAGCTTTTTTTCATCTAGAACCAACGTAGGCGTTCCTACCCATCGACCTGGTCCATACGCGTGGATACCAATAATTTTACTTTTCTATTTTATCAGAAGCACCGTAGCCTGAGTTTCGAAAGAAAAACCTTTAAACTCGTCCTAATCAATTTTACGACTCGAGCAAACGATATGAATATACATATGTGGCCACTTAAAGCTACCAGCCGGCGTATTATCCGAGAAATCCGCACAGAATCCGCGCAAGCTCCAAAGCATTACGCCCCAAGCGGCCGCTTCAAGTACCTGAAGAAAGCACAGATATAGCTTAGCGTATTTGTTGTACAAGGCAAGGGAGGACAGTGGAGTAATTTGCTATAGACCCGAGTGAAGGCAGAGACGCAAAGTAGCACGTTCCGCTTCCGAATGTTCCGATGTTGGTGTTGGGACGAGATTTTACGACTAGTTACGAAAGGTGACTGGCAGTGAATAGCAGCGACACTCAGCGCTCAACGTCGCTCCACACTGCCGCACCGATTTTGAATTCCCAGAGTTGCCAATCTGGTGAGAAGAGATATTTTCGCCTTCACGACTTCCTTAGGACCAATGTCTCCCCACCAGCTCGCATTGCGTTGGAGGCCATCGAATGGTGTATTTCCAGTGAATTGGCGTCTTTACGCGCCCCGTCTGGCCTGGTGGCGAAAGTCTAGTGGTTGGAGCAGAAGCATAGCCAGAGAATGTGTCAGTTGCCGTCGGTTGTCATACAATACAATTGACGTATACCGTGTAGCAACAGATCGCGGTCCGCAGTCAATACGGTGCTTGTGATACTGAGCTCCTAATACCATCTAAGCCTTGAAAGTGAAAGTGAGAGGAAGATACGCTATAGTGCACAGCTTGTTCTCCTTTGAAAATTGGTGGGACATAGAATAGATGATGTTTTTCCGAAAGAGAAGGATCACCGCATGGTTGAAAGCCTGGTGCAGATGTATACCAGGCTTGTGTTCAGATGTGTATCATATAACCCCCGTCTGCCACGGAAGTTACTGTGCACATTGTACTTTTTTCAGCGCTTACAGATCTCATACGCATGTCGCCGGAAAAAAACAAAGGATCTTGTTGAACTTTAGGATAGTTTGAGGGAAATAAAGGGCTTCGAATTGCGAGACCAAGTACCTGGGTCAAAGAGGAAGTGAAGGAAGGCTCTGTCAAAGGTGTAATGGACCAGTGCAAAGCTGTCGAAACATCACAAATCACGGAACCGAACCTTCAGGAGATTGAGTCAATTCGGGCCGTATATTGTATCAGTAATCAGTTTATAATCGAGTCAAGTCGGTCAATCTAGTCATTGGTTCTTTCCTTTCCCCTCCACCCACTCTAGACTCCCCGAGGGGTCTTAAGTTTACCTCAGTCAAGTCACTGAGTTAGTGTGAGTCTTCTATCATATCCCTGGCTTTGTCGGATACCGTATTGTCCGTAAATGTTTCTGCGCACCTCATCGGTAGCGGAAATCCAAAGTCGAGATAAAATGGAGTCAGACTCAAAAGTATATCGATGGGAACATTCCCCATCTGTCTTGCTTTCATCATCTATAATCCAGCCAGAGCCAGGCTATCCGATTTTTGAAAGCGAATCAGAACTGACACATCATGGTCACAGAATTCCCAGGTCGCCGCCGCCAAACGTGCCTACTATAACCTTGCCTAGACCCAATTTAAACCTCTTCGCAATTCCAGCCTCATCGCAGTCCACTCACAAATTCAACACGAGCCAAGATGTTCCGACTCCTCTGAATAACTCGGCTGCTTCTCCCAACCCGTCTACGGCTTTGCACAATGGTCCTGGATCTCCTGATGCTTCACAATCGCCTTCACCGGTGAATTCACTAGCTGCCCACTATGGCATTCCACAATTACTGCCTCGGCCACCTCGTACTACACCACGTACTGTAGCCAAATCAAACGAAATGCTGCCCGACTTTGAGTCTCTCAGCCGCAACTATTTATCAATGCTTGCCCATAAACCATCGGATAATATTTCAACCCCCACACCTGATACCAATATGTCTACCACCAACGAACGAGTAGAAATGGCCGCGCCTGCACCTCCTCAGGTTGAGGACCAGGCCGCGGCCCTTCAAGCTGCTCTTGAAACTATGTTAGGTACAACCTCTCCAGTGTCATCATATTCGTATCTTGCTGACTCGGAGGGCTCAGCCTCTCCAGAATTCACCATGGCCAGCGACTTCCTTTCCTCCCCATTCCTCAACACTCCGTACGACGACTTCAGCACGTCGCCAATGGATGATTCTCCTTTCGCTCCTGACCTTTCCACACCTATCATGGATGTCCTTGACGACGAGCTAGGCTGGATGTCCAACGGCAGTAACGAGCCGCTATTCAACGATCCTGCGTCGGCGCTGTACAAGATGCTCGAGGAACCTGTCAAGGAGGCAGCGCCTGTCACTACCGCAGCCGAGATCCTGAATAACAAGAATTTGTTTACGTTGTCGCCTGCCACTCCAATGCTCGACTCTGTACACAGCCTATACCCGTCTCCCCGCCTTCCTTCTCTCACCGTATCGCCTCCTACCGCCGTCCAATCGACTCCCGCTGCTCCTCCGCCAGCTCCTCGAAAGGTGTCAGCTTCCCTACCCTCTACAGTTGCGACTGGTACCCGTCGCAACATCACCCCTGATAACCTTGTTCCGCTCGATGCTCCGACGCAAACTCGCCGATATCTCACTCCCTCTTCTACCTCCCGCAAAGAAGTTCCTGCTTCGTTCGCCAAGAAGCGTTCGCGCACAGTGGCGTTCGCCGATGAAGAGGACGTCGAGGAGGCTCCCGCAGAAGCTCCCGGTCCTGGTGCGACGGAATTGGAGAAGATCGAGTACAAGCGTCGTCTGAGCACGATTGCGGCTAGGAAAAGCAGGAGGAGGAAGTTGGAGCATAAGCTTATGCTCGAGTCACGAGTCGACGAGTTGGAAAGGGAGTCAGAGAAGTGGAGGACCAGGTGTAAGGTCCTTCAGGAGATGCTCAGGAGTCATTCGGTTGACTTTAGGTTCGACGATGACGAGTGAGTGAGTCGCTGCGGTGAATCTGGATAATAATCTGGATCATCGTTCTATGCTTTCTTTTATTCCGTCGTTTAAATTTTTTGTTTCATCCCTATTATACCACCGACTCGTATCGGTTTCGATTTTCTTCACCTTCTCATTTTTGTTTAGTGAAAAGTCCTCTCCGATGCTCGTGTATTTCTAGATCACTCTTTCCCTCCACTCACCATTTCCTTCGAGCATCGTCGTATCCCTCATCCCCACGTCTCCATTTCCCTAGTTTTGCCATGTTATGACCCCGTATGTACTTAAACTTGAAGGTTATAGCTGTTATCGAAGTGGAAAGTTTGTTAGTCGTAGTAGTATGTTCCATGTGTTGTGTGTGTCGTTTATGTAGTGTACAGCTGTTTCTTGTAATGAACAGAACAGTATGTGTTGTGATTCGTCAATTCGAGTTTGATTTCAAAAAAGAAAACTTTTGCTTTTGCTTGAGTGTTTACAATTCGCTAGCAGCTACTTTCAATCTGACTTCCTTCCAGCAACAGGAAAAAAGTTCATTCACGCGACTTAAGCTTGTTGAAGCTCTCCCTGAACGTGTTCAGCGAGCGACAGACACTACTTTTATTAGTCAAGTATACCGCACCCTAGATCTAGAGAAGCCGACAGTGTCACTAGGTGACAGTTTCCCTTTAAGAATTCGGAGTATAATTCAAGTATGCATTAGGGCCGCTAGCTATGGGGGTGAAGACCATGAACGATCTGAATTCATATCAGCGATCTGGAGGTTACAGTAAGCAAAGAGAATTATGCAGGGTACTTAAATGATCCGCGGGGCCTTGTCTATCCTCGCTCAAAGGTTTTATATCTCATAGGCGGCGTAGATGTTCTATTACAGGAATTACCATTCAGTGACTGCTGTTAATTCTATACTCGAGTGTGTGCCGCTGGTGAATGAAAGCTGTATGTGCAGGGTGGCTGCACAGCAATTCGCTGCGTCCATTATTTCCACCCCCCAAGTCTCACCTCCATCGACTATACGCGCCGCTGCTCATGCAGTGGCTACTCGCGAGATAACTTCTCAAGAAGCAATTTGGTATCATGGCCGACCGGGACACTGGCCACGAGTCCACATGCGGGACAGTGGATCATGACTATGAGATGAGGCAGGGACAGATCTTCGAGCAGATGGTGAACAACGGTATGTCAGGGATGCGCTTAATTTTGAAAGACGGCGGAAACTTTTGCAAATCTTCGTATAGTCTCCGAAATGGAATCGACGTCGAGCTTCATCACCGCCGTAGGACCCGTGGACTCGGAACCGACTAATGAAAGCACTATCCAGGACCTTCTCCGATGTGCGCTGTTAGAATACGACGCTCAGAAGCAAAATCGGAGTTTGCGTTTTCAATGGCTTGAGCCGCATATGGCCCAGCAATTGGTGGACCACTTACAATCGGCAAGTCCTTAGCCAAAACCAGTCAAAACCACAAAATAAAAAACTCAGACGCTCGTTTTCATCTAGATCTTGGATTCTGAACAGGACA